AAAAAAAAAAAAAAAGTAGAGTATAAATGTCTTAATACAACAATTAAATAAGTGAGATGAAGGCTATGTTAACCAGTTTGATGTAAGCATTCCAAATTCAGCACATTGAACCCCATAAATGCATTAATGTACACAGTTATGATTTAATAAAAAAGTAAAAAGTTAAGAATAAACGGATGTGGTGCATACATAATCAGATAAATAATGAGACTAGCCACTAGCATAAAAATGCTGCACCAACAACTCACCTACACCATGTGCATTTGTTTACATGTGTTGAAGAAACTAGCTCCCATATTATTAAATTATTTAATTATAAATTATCCTTACGGGAGCCTTGAGAGCTCATTCATAAGTACAGAAAACCCTAAGGCTAGTCATCTGTAACCCTGGGACTGTACATACAATATGTGTGTGTGTATATGAGTGAATATTCCATATACTTTGTGTGTATGTGTAAATAGAACAAAGTGAGTGATTTCCTACTTAAATCTCATTAATACTATTTCCTAGAGAATTCTATTTAGAAAAACTGGAGTTCTAAGCTATCTTTGTTTCTGTCCTCGTGAAGATTGTTGTTTTGGTTTCTTGGACTTTGTAAAGTTCTTTTCTGGAAGAGATTGTGTGTTAATTCTTCTTTAAACATTTTATACAATTCTCCAGTGAAACCATCTGGGATTAGAAACTCATTTGGGAGAGTTTTTAAATTATAAATTAAATTATCTTAAAGTTATGGGGCTACTCAAATTATCTATTTTATATTGGGTGAGTTGGGGTAGTTTATGCTTTTCAAAGAATTGACCTATTTCATCTGAGTTGTCAAAATCATGTACATACAGCTATTCATAATATTCCCTTATCTTTTTGATGTTTACAGAGTTTATAGTGATATCCCCAATTTTATTCCTGATATTGGTAATTTTGACAATATATCTCTGCCCCCCCCCCATGTTCTCACTAGGGGTTTGTTAATCTTGTTGATCTTTTCATGAAAAGTTTTTTGCTCCATTGGTCTTCCCCATTTTTTCCCCTTTCCACGTTTGTTTGTTTGTTTGTTTGAGACGGAGTCTCACTTTGTCCCCCTTAGTAATGTGGCATCACAGCTTACAGCAACCTCAAACTTTTGGCTCAAGCAATTCTCTTGCCTCAACCTCCTAAGTAGCTGGGACTATAGGCAACCGCCACTACACGAGGCTAGTTTCTCTCTGTTTTTTTTTTTTGTTTGTTTGTTTTGTTTTGTTTTGTTTTTAATAGACACGGAATCCACCTCCTGCTAAAGCTGTTCTTGAATTCCTGAGCTCAAGCAATCTACCCTCCTTGGCCTCCCAGTTAGGATTCCAGGCCTGAGCCACTGTGCCCAGTCCCTATTTCTTTTAAATTGCTTTTTGAATTGGTCTTTAACCAAATTATGTATTTTAACAGGTTATTTTCTGTATATATGAAAGCTGGTGATGAATTTCTATTTATTTTGTACTCAGCCACACAATTAAATTCAGAAAACATGTAATAGTTAATGTCTTCTCCTCTGTTCTGATGTGTGAAAATTACTCTGCTTTATTGTTGTGCATTGACAGGACAATATTGTGTAATGCGATGTTTGAAAAGCATACGACCACTCTCATCTTTGTCTTTCAACTTGTCTTTTGATAATCAACCGATTATCCCCCATTGGTGTCTTAATATAGCAGCGAATTAACAGATCTCTGAACATTTAAGCCTCCTTATATTAACTCCTAATGGTACATTACTCTTTGAATATGCTAATCTAGATTCTGTTCGCTAACACTTAGGGCTTTTCTGCAGCCAGGGAGCCAATAATGTTCCTGAAAGATACATGAAGAAAACGTGTTCACAGAAACTCACTCAAGCGGCGTCTTGAGCCAGGGGTCCGCGAAGGAACACGTAAGGGGTGATGAGCGACGGTCAGGGAGAGGCCCGGAGCTTCATTCATTTCCAGAACACCCACCCGGCGCTCTCCCCGGGCAGAGGGCTCCGCCTCGCCTCGCATAAACAGATGTACTAGGCTCCTCCTCTGCTCCCTTGCCCTTCGCCCCCGCCCACCCTGGGGAAACTCAAGCCCCGCCTCTCTGATTCCGGTCCGGCTTACGTGAGGGTGTCAGTCCCGCCCCCGCATTCTTCCCCCAACACACACTTCACTGGAGTCCCACGCACAGGCGCACTAGCAACCACCCGCATTGTGGGCGGGGCCCGCGCAGGCGCCTGGGCTAGTTTCATGGCTCCGCCCACACTCCAGCCTAGGCCCGCCTCCACGGTCTTGCACTTCCGCGGACGCCTCACTGCTGACTCCAGCGCGTCCCAGCCGAGCCCAGCTGAGCGAGTGCAGCGCGATGGACGGTCGGGTGCAGCTGATGAAGGCCCTCCTGGCCCGGCCCCTCCGACCCGCGGCACGTCGGTGGAGGAACCCGATTCCGTTTCCCGAGACATTTGACGGTGATACCGACCGACTCCCCGAGTTCATCGTGCAGACGGGCTCCTACATGTTCGTGGACGAGAAAACGTTCTCCAGCGACGCCCTGAAGGTGACGTTCCTCATCACCCGTCTCACCGGGCCGGCCCTGCAGTGGGTGATCCCCTACATCAAGAAGGATAGCCCCCTCCTCAACGATTACCGGGGCTTCCTGGCCGAGATGAAGCGGGTTTTTGGATGGGAGGAGGACGAGGATTTCTAGGCCGGGAGACCCTCAGGCCTGGGTTGGGCGCGTGGGGAGGGTTCGCTATGCCAGTCGCTGCCGCCGCCATAGTGGCCACTGGCGCCCTTTTGAGACGCTTCCCTCCCCCCACCTCGAGTCGCCATGATCTCCCATGCGCTCCTGCCCCCTCCCGTGTTGTGCTTGCCTTTGTTCCAGGAATAGCGCTCCAAGCTAGCCCTGCTGTCTCTGGGCCTCACTCTGGAGCGTGCCACCGCCCTCTTCTGCCATTTCAGCCCCTCCCACGTTATTTGGACGCTGTCCTGTACTCCAGCTGCAAGCTGGGCTCCTATCACACACTGGACAGACCATCGGCAGCCGGTTGCTGCCCACCCCCGTCCCCTGGGCCACACTGCCAGACTACTGCGTCAGCCTGCCCACACACCTGTGCCACTGCCGCTGCCATCACCATCCACAGCATCCCACCAACAGACTGCTGCTCTTAGTGATTTGGACTCATCTGGGAGGTATCTGAGCTGGCCACCTCCATGAAGGGGCTAGCAGGCTTTCACCTTCAGCGGGACTCATTTCCTTCCCTTCTCCCAGATACCTCTTATGTTCCTGCCAGATGGCTGCCAGGGCCCAGGTGTGTCTGGTGGCCAAATCCATTCACTCATTTTCTCCCATGGACTAGTTAGTTTTGCTCAGAATCTATTTCTCTTCTGAATTCACAGCTGTCTCTGATGTGTGCCTTTTGTTTAACACAGTAACCACTGCAGTTTGCCCTGCTCTTCTATACTACCTGTACAAAATCTTTTCCTTATTTTCAATAAATGTCAGACACTGTTGAAAAAAAATCGAGTCTCAATGAATATGCCATCTTCCCCTCCCTGGTCGTAAAAATGGGGTCCATATCTTGATCAAAACTTATATGCCCTGTAATTCAGTGGGTGATGTTGACTCTTGTATTTTAACACAAAAGATTGAATTTTGTGGTGGTCCTGGAGATGGAGACCTTCCTGGCAAATATCTAGTGCCAATTGAGGATCCTTCTAAACCAGTCACTTTCATGCCCCTTAGGAAATGGACCTTAATGTGATTTTGTCCCGTCCAAGGTAAGAAGTCAGTAGGGTTTTTTTTTTTTTTTTGAGATAGAGTCTCAAACTGTCACCCTGGGTAGAGTGCTATGGCATCACAGCTCACAGCAATGGGCTTAGGTGATTCTCTTGCCTCAGTCTCCCAAGTAGCTGGGACTGCAGGCACCCACCACAATGCCCGGCTATTTTTTGTGTGTAGTTGTTGTTTGACAAGGCCTGGGCTGGATTCGAACCCACCAGCTCTGGTGTATGTGGCTGCCATCTTAGCCGCTTGAGCTACAGGCGCCTAGCCAGTTAGGGTGCTTTTTGAAGGAGGTTCCTTCCTTTCCAAAAAGCTACTTGAAAGCACACGTCCCAATTTGTTACAAATGCTAAATCCCACACATTTGTTGATGAATACCTTTCAAAATTTGACTTAACCCATTCAGGGAAACAGCAGAATGGCTTAGGTATTTCAGAAAAGAGCATTTGCATTTATATTGCTTTGTGTAGGTAGAGGAGGAAGGAATGCAGAACCCAGATTGCTAATTTAGGTACAAACCTGGTTAATGATCTGAAAGACAATACAATTATAAATTTCTCTAGTGGGCAGAAAAGGGAAAAACATTATTCCTCAATGTTTGTATACATGCCAGTTTCTAAAATTGAGCTGAAAAGCCTGTCCTATCCCACCTATTGCTGGGGAAATTTCAGTATCCCAATAGAGTCAGATGATCCTAAGGAGAGGTTACAGCACAACATTCAATTGACATTGCCTTATTTCCTGGATGTAAAATTTTCTCAGGACATAGGAATGAGGAATAAATGTTAGAAAGTTTTATCTTTAAAATAACCCACCCTTTGAGGGAATTAAAACCTGAGCATTCCTTTCCTGAGGCCAGTGTTCTTTCACTCTATTGCCTTTCTCTTAATTTAAACAGGAATAATAGCCATTCATGCACAGTTTGTTTATTTCTCTCACTTCATACTCAGCAGTCTACTCAATACACAACCAAGAAGCCTTACCTCTGAAAGATGGAGAAACTAAGACTGATAGTACAGCAGATGAATATAAAAAAGAGAACAATGAAATGTAATATTTGTTTTTGTGGTTGGGGCCAATAATAACTTGGAGTCTATAATTGAGATTACACATTTTATAACACTGAAATCCGCAATATTTGATTTATTTTTTATTTTATCGAGAAATCCACAATATTTTATTTATTTTATTTTATTGAGATGGAGTTTCACTTTGTTGCAGTTGGTAGAATACTATGGCGTCATAGCTCACAGCAACCTCAGACTCTTGAACACAATGCCCTGCTATTTTTTTGTTTGTTTGTTTGTTTATTGGCAGGTCCGGGGTGGGTTCAAACCCACCAGCCCTGATGCATGTGGCTGGCCCCCTACCCACTGAGCTACAGGTGCTGCCCCATCCACCATATTTTAATATGGGAGCAAAGCTGCTTTTTTTTTTCCCCTGACAGTCTGTTACCTTGGGTAGAGTGCTGTAACATCATAGCTCACAGCAACCTTTAACTCTTTGGGCTCAGGCGATCCTCTTGTATCAGCCTCCGAGTAGCTGGGACTACAGGCACCCACCACAAAGCCTGGCTAGTTCTTCTGTTTTTAGTAGAGACAGGGTCTCACTCTTGCTCAGGCTGATCTTGAACTCCTGAGCTCAAGCAATCTACCTGCCTGAGTCTCCCAGGGTGCTAGAATTATAGGCATGACCCACCGACAGCCTCTGAATAGTTTAGTGTCTTGAGGTCCTGATTCTCAGGGGAATCCTGGTAGTGTAACAGAGGGAAAGGTCTGAAAAAGAAGATGAAATGTGTGACAAGTTATGCCTTTAAAATCACCCACCTTTGGGGGAATTAAAACCCACATTCCTTTACCGAAGCCAGTAATCAAGGGGGCAGAAAAATGTTCTTTCCTGTTGTTTGTTTTCTGATCTCTCTCTCTCTCTCTTTTTTTTCTTTTGGAGACAAAGTCTCACTTTGTCATCCTTGGCAGAGTGCCATGGCATCATAGCTCGCAGCAACTTCAAACTCTTGGGCCCACCGATTCTCTTGCCTCGGTCTCCCAAGTAGCTGGGACTACAGGTGCCCGTCACAACACCTGGCTATTTTTATAGAGGAGATCTTGCTCTGGCTCAGGCTGGTCTCGAACCTGTAAGCTCAGGCAATCCACTCGCCTCAGCCTCCCAAGAGTGCTAGGATTACAGACATGAGCCACTTCACCCAGCTTTTTTTCTAGTATCTTAAACCACAAGAGTCGACTCTACAGTATTGTCCAAGGTTCACAAGATGGTCCTTGCTGAAGATAAGGTCAACTGAAACCACCAATTATAGATAAACAATAGGCCAAAGCCACAACATAGGACACTGGTCACATAGATCCAAGTTGAACCACCAAAAACCTTTGTTTAAAAAACAAACCCCTGTATTTATTCATAAAGACAGGATGGTGGTCTTTGAGATGCTAGTTCACTACCCTCATTTGCTAGCAAAAAAAAAATAAATAAATAAATAAACTTCCTTTTCCTCAAACCACTTGTCTTCATTCTTCCATCTCACTGATTTAACCTCAGGACAAGTATCAAACTTTTAGTAACAGTAGAATTGTTGGTGAAAGGCCTCACTCACCCCTTAACTCCAGTCACCTAAGTGCATCCTTATACACAAGATCAGCCCTAAGGTAGAGATGGAATAATGAAGGGATTCTAAAGGGACCCTTTGGGAATATCCCTCATCTGTCTGTCCACCAGGAACCTGGAGGGAGCTAAAGGAGTAGGCTGAGAGATTTACCAGAAGTCTTGAGAGCAGGGGATGTTTCCTCCAGTGTCACTACAGGGATCAGATGACCTGCCTGCTTCTAGGGGTATTGATACATTGCTTTGTCTTCCATCATAGGGGGTATTGAGACTACTTAGGTGCTGCAGTAAGTGGTTCTGAGCAGCAATAAGCCTAAAATGAAAAGTAACAAATCTAGTGGGACCACATATGGGAAAAACAAAGATCAGTCAGAACATACACCCAATAAAATTAAGTAAACTGAAAGCCCATCATGATTTCAGACTATTTAATATTTAATGGCATGGGGAAATGGACATGCCTGGTCAGCAAGGAATATAATGGGTCTACAAAACAGGCAAAACATACTGAGGTCAATCAAGGCCCACTGATTAAAGTGACCCAGGCCCATGGGATTCTGGAACATGTTTTCTTCTCCTTGCTACAACTGTTTCTGTGTCTTAAGGCAGCTGAGAGCATACTGTCATATGATGAAAAGAAGAACATTTAGGATTTCACAATCCTGTCCTTCCAAAGGATACAGTAAAGCTGTTAATCTGGGCCTTAGGCTAAAGATTGCAGTAGTACTTGCTCTGCAACTTGAGTGGTGGATTACATATATACTCACAATAGAAAAATAATACAGTTTTTGTAAGATTATTAGAATACATTCCTAAAACTAGTGTACAGATCAAAGTCCATATAACACTTTAACTATTTTTGCCTGTCAAAATGTCACTCCAGGCTCAGCACCTGTGGCTCAGTGGTTAGGGCACTGGCCACATACACTGGGGCTCGTGGGTTTGAATCTGGCCCAGGCCTGCTAAAGAACAATGACAACTGCTGCAACAACAACAAAAATAGCCGGGCACTGTAGTGGGTGCCTGTAGTTCCAGCTACTTGGGAGGCTGAGGCAAGAGAATCGCTTGGGCCCAGGAGTTTGAGGTTACTGTGAGCTGTGACACCATAGCACTCTACCGAGGGAAACATACTAAGACTCTGTCTTTAAAAAAAAATGTCATTCCAGAAAGATTATTTCCAAATTACATTCTCATGAGTAATGTGAGGGAATGTTTCAATCATCATTTGTAAAAGTTTAATTTTTAACAAAGATAACAACATCCCCAACAATAAATAATTTTTTCCCACTATAAAAGTTCTCTTTTATTTATTTATTTATTTATTTTTTATTAAATGATAGCTGTGTACATTAATGCAATTATGGGGTACAGTGTGGTACCCCATATACAATTTGAAATATTTTCATCAAACTGGTTAACATAACCTTTATGTCATTGTCTTAGTTATTGTGTTAAGACGTTTATATTTTACTTTTAGAAAGATTCACTTGTACACTTGAAAGATAAACCGTAGAGGTGATCCCTCCAGTCACCCTCCCACAAAAGTTTTTTTTTCTCATTTTCTCTTCTACCCTACCATAACTGAGACAATTGGAACCAATCCCCCAATCACGGGGCTGGCGGAGATGGTTGATATCTGAAAATATGAAAGTTTGACAGCTAGGGAATTTTTAAAAATCATTTTAGGCCTCTATAAAGAGCAATATTTGGCTCGGCACCTGTAGCTCAGACGGCTAGTGCACCAGCCACATACACCAGAGCTGGCAGGTTTGAATCCAGCCTGGGCCAAAAAATAGCTGGGTATTGTGGTGGGTACCTGTAGTCTCAGCTACTTGGGAGGCTGAGGCAATAGAATCACTTGGACTCAGGAGTTTGAGGTTGCTTTGAGCTGTGATGCCACAGCACTCTACTCAGGGTGACAGCTTGAGACTTGAGACTCTGTCTCCAAAACAAAAACAAAAACAAAAACAAACAAACAAAAAACCCCAGCAATATTTAACTTGTAGGAAAGCCTATCAATCAGCTCTTAGTCATTGATCATTAAATAGCATTTTTAGGGATGAAGACTATGGCAAAGTTGAATTTAGACCTTTCCAAAATTCAGGGAGGTCTCCAACACTCA